CTCCTATATGGACCGTATCTCCAGGCAAAGGAATTCAAGTCAAATATGGGCTAACCTCCCTGAACGAAGTGCTTTCCCGAAGCTCCCCAAGCTCTCAGAGCGGTATAATATCTTTTAAACGATTCGTCGATCGGAACATTGTCCCGGGACCTAAAACCAAAAACAGTACAAAACATCATGGTTCTTCGAGTGCTGAACTGTTTAGGAAAACAGGCGGATACAGTATCCTAAACTGCGCGTAAAAAAGAGTGCCCAGGTGCACACAGCACCAGTCAGTTTTCGCCCAGGCGGCATCTGGCTGAGGTTGAAAAGCGGAAATAGTGTCGTTCCCGTTCCCTGGCCTCAACCCAAAGCTCCCTCTCCTAGCCCCCTCTCGGGCCGACACATGCCTTATCCCTGACCCGGAGAAGCGTAGCATTTCGAAATTTCATCGGATGGGTTACTCGTGGGATATTTCAACTTGGGACAACTGTCATCTTGTTCTGTGTTGGACAAAGACATGATTACAACTGCCCCAAATGAAAATATCTCACGAAAACCTTGGCCGCCGCCACGTTCAATTCAAGTACGCAGCCACGCCTACCGCATCTCAGAGATTTTGAGTGAAACTTCACGCGGTTTTCGGGGGTACTGTGTACTGCCTCTTTTCCTGGACTTATAATCTTCAACGCAAGCGGTAGAGACTTTACAACCTCATCTCACCTGAACTGCTATGCCATCAAAGTTTGTAAGCCGTCACAAATAGGACCAGCCAGACATGAAGACCATTGATATAGATTGATCGGTGCGAGGCTTCCGGAAGCTGAAGTGCCAGCCGACCGCATTCATCGGTATCAACGACCACAGCACATGAAATGATATCATCAAGTGACCATTTCGTACTAACCTACTCTGAATGCCGGCTGTTTCAACGCGTTTGATCGTTGCGATTCAAAAAATACTGACTGCACTACTGGCTATTTTCTTTGTATACTCGCTCTATTATATAATTATCAAGCAAGACATCATCGATAGGGATCGTGTTCAACGACGAAAAAAGCGAGCAGCTCTAGAAGGTGAGTATCACCAAGTTGTTAAATGTTAACGTAAAGTTGTAACCTGTGTTAATTCTGGTGTGCCTCCCAAGGTTGGTAGGTGAAACTTCACTGACTTGTCGACTGATCGTCGTCTTTGCAAGCCCAGGGTTCCATCTTTGAGCGGAAAAACCCGCTACCACAGTTGAGCCGTTAAGCAGGCCGTTCAGACTTGGCGACGGAAGCCGCCTTAGTCACCGCCGATCGGCCGCGATCGATACTCACGCTTCTCGGACTTTCACTGATCGGCGTCGCACTGCAGCGGCGACCGACGCTACCGTCGCGAAGTCTGACGTTGCCTTAGCAGGTGGCCAGTAGTTTGAAGTAAAGTGATTTGCGCTCGGATTCCCAAATCTTGACGTCTCAGATTAACGGGCGCAGGTGCGAACTAAAGGGGGCGGGCATAGACTTCACTTCTTGTGCAAGTAGCAGACCTGCCTATGTAAAGCCTCCGTTAAACTGTTGCTGAAGACTCCGCTGTGCGGCAGCAGCCAATTGTGTCCCTGTGAATCCATGCGGTATCTGCATAATAAGGGTCACAGCAATATCTTTGTCAGCCGTTGAGGAAGCGTTCCCCATCCCCTTCCATTCCTTTTTCCGTCCTATCTTTTTCCTTTCTCCTGCTTAGTACCTTCCTCATTTTCATCCCTCTGGTCGGTGGCTAGGACTGACGAGCATGCAATAGGAAATAATCTAGACCCTCGCAGCTGAAAACCATCGGCTGCCCAGATAGTCTCTGTAAGCCTGCCTGCTCCCAATACTTCCTGCGTTCAGCTCCCACTGACGTACCAGCAGCTTTATTCGCCGCCGCTTTCGCTTCAACGGCATCTAACACGATAATTTGCATTCTTGGGCCCGGAAATGCTAGCCGGGGCCCTATAGTAAGGGCGAAAATTGCAAACAAAAAAAACGAAGTAAAACGCTCTGAAAGAAAGACCTGCGACTAAGTCAAAGTCTTCTCTCTTAATGACTCAAAAAGCAATTTACTTCGGGTCGGTATGTTACTTGCTTATGTTACAGCTTCATAGGGTCTTACAAGGAAAATCCTTTGGAAAAGGCGCTACGCAGCGCCTCGCTCACGGAATTCTGTCCTGTCGGGGCGTATTAATCCTACTCGTCCTAGGCCGCGTTCATAGCTTGCGTTCGTGAAGAAATGCAGAAAATCGGAAAATGCAGAAGTGCGGAATCTGCAGAAAAGCAATAGATACTTATCGACTTGAAGAAATGCAGAAATGCTGCCGAAACTGCAGACGTGCGGAAAGTGCAGAAATCAACGCAACAGCATCACATACGTATCGATTTTAAGAAAGCAGAAACTGCCGAAGTGAGTAATGCCGGCCTTTCTGCAGGAAATGGCCGAAAAGTGTGGCGAAATCGATACCGCGGTAATCGGTCTTTTGCACATCCGCACTTTCGGCATTTCTGCCACTTAAGCGGCACTCAGGGATTATATCGTTCGCCAAACTGCTTTTTAATGTTTGAAAAAAGCATCACCGCAAAAACGCTGCCCTGTTACGCTTGGTGCGGACGCTTGGTTGTTCCGGACTAGATCACTTCCTTAGTTGGTGCAGTTGACGCTCGTACACGCGAATCCGCTAGGTGAAACGCTGACGCCAAAATATGAGTCGACCAGCTAAGGCAAAGTCACGCGAACCAGACAGCTTGTGGGTACACGGAACACTTATATTAGGAAACGCACAAAAAAGCTACGGTATCTAGATTAGCGGGTAAAAGCAAGCAGTGCAATAAACAGCCGAAAATGCCTTCTTAAATAGGATTCCATATCGACCCCAACTTGTACATGCATGCAGTGAAGAAAACGCGTGTTTGTACGAATTTCCACTCGTCGTTATCATAAAGATATCAGCTCTTTTATCGTATCACCTCACTCTCACCATTCGGAATGGAGAGAGATAGCATAGTGGCTACTACTAGTAGCTAGCAGCCGGTGGGGGTCGGCATGGGCCTAAGGGGCGCCAATGGGCCTAATTGGTTAGCTTAAAGCGGAATTCTTGCCGATTTTCACTTTCTAAAGGTAGCGCAGCCTCCGCAATCTCCTTCCGGATCGTCTGACACATTTGAAAGGTCATAGCCTTATTTTATCGCGGAAAGTGCCTTTAAGCGACTCGAGATATCAAGCTTAGCGAAGGGTGGGCCAGCGAAATGGAGCAAGCCGCAGAGCAGAGACAGGGTGCTGGATCTTGCAGATGCATTGAACCACCTACCGCAAAATTGCATGAAAAACCATCTTCCACCGGGAAGGAACTTCTTGACGCCCTTCCCTCCCCATGTCAAAGTTTCTAATTGTTCACCTTCCTACTTCGTTTTTTTTGCCACTCCCGACACTGAGATTAACCGGCTAATCCACCATTAGAAACAACTGCCGGCAATGAAAAGTATATTAAAACACAACTCACAAATCTTCCGTAACGCTTCGATAAAATGTTACAAAACTTTGGCAGTCCGCCGCTTTCACGGGATTAATGGTAAGCAAAATGCCCTGAGTATACCGTGCCCTATGTGTAGCGTTTATTTCGCGGCCACACTTGCAAAAGTTCCACAGTCGACAGTTTGCTGTCTTGAAGCTTAAAGGGTCACTACTGAAGCACGTTCTATATTCGACGTAAAACGTTCGATGCAAAACTCAAATTATTCCTCAAAAAAATTAAGTACAACAACCAAGCATATAACGGTCTGTAGTGTTTTTGAGATGGTGCGTCGCTGGAAAAATTATTGGAGTCGTAGATCGACTCGACCTTGGACTTACGCCAAAGCGCTCAGTGGCGCTAATTAGCCAGGAGTACAGTCGTTATCAATGAAGGAGTGTCAGCAGCGCCGACGGGTTGAGCAGCCGGCGCGATTCTACCGCCGCGCAATTAGGCGATCGCCGCACACGCGCCGCCGCGTCGCTGGCGGCACGCGCGACGCGGCAATCCCGGAGTTGCATTACCGTCCCGAGTTGTCATTGGAGCAACGGCCACAGCAAGCTGTGCCTCTTTCAAATTGTTAAAGGGATCGTCGACCCTTTAACAATTTGAACGCCACGCCGCGAGGGTTTTGGCATGGCGCCACCATGTTCTCCATTGATCATTGCGGCTTGGGTCGTAATGAGTGGTGGGGAACGGGCTGCCACTTAAAACCTACGGCCCGACTGACTTCATGATAATGACCGTACCAAATGGTTTGAGTGCGAGGCCTATATCCGAATCTCCTGGACCGCAGCCCTAGGATACACCAGTTCGAACTATTTTGTGGAAAATTTCGAAACATAACCATAACAAACTTCCGGCACTTATACACGCAATACTTTTCAGAACAACGACGATCCCAAATGAACACTATCAAGAATAAACAGGCACCTGAATCGGCACGATCTACGCCGGCTCACTGATTTTTTTTCACTCTTACTGACTGTCTGTATTAAATGTTTTCATGGAGGAAAGACTTCAGTATTGCAACGATATCGTTACTTATTCAGTTAAGAGATTCAATGTACAATAATAGTTGTAGGAACAACGCATATAGTAACAAATTAGGAAGATATGTAACAGCTTTAAAGCAGTTCGGTCCATAGAAGAAGCTGGATTTGAATCTAAAGCTCGTTTCAAGAAGTAGATATGCTCCAGTGGTAAAGTTAGAAACTTGTAAAATCACTCCCGATTCGGTGATCACTTCAATACAACATGTAAGTAGTCCTACTACATGATTTGATATCAATATTCGAGGAAACAGGCACTTCGAGAAGCGTAAGGATGTTAGACTTCAGAAGATCTCATCAGAGAAACAGGTAAGCTACAATAAAATTGACACTAATTTCAACAGAAAAATATGCCTATCAACACAAGGTAGCACCTTTGAAAGGCCAAAACTGTCTCCTACCAGAAAAGAATGGGAAATACATGCGACACCATGGTAGCTTTTTATTATTTAGCAGGTCATTACTTGGATTAGTTCTTCTTTTGTCACATTATGCGGAATGTTCAAGTAAACCTCACCACCATACGTCTCGTAGATAACTCGTCCATTACATTGGAAACGCAGCACATCTCTGAAATTCTTGATGGCAGAAGGTTTCATATTTATGCCTCTTTGTTGTATACATTAATTAATCTCAATCCTGAGAAGGTTGATGAGCACTGTGAGGGTGAGGATGAGGCAGTAATGCTCAATGACGCTCGATGACACGCGTCGACGCGCTGCAACGCGCTGCTGCGCGTTGACCACCTACCACAACAGCGCTTCAAAGGCGGGAACGCAGCTATTGTGGGATATCAATTGGCGCTGGCCGCCTGCTTTGAAAGAGAGTATGAAAGAGGAAGGTACGCGTGGCCTCATAACACAGTCTAGCATCCTTCTACTCTCTGATACCAGACAATATGATTAGGCGAGCGCTCAATACTCCTTTTCGTCCACACTCATCCCGAGCGCACAAAGCACACCGCGCGATCGCGATACCCGTCTCTGACTGCAATGAAGCCTATAGCCTAGGGGCGCTGTAGCAATGGTAGCGCGTCATTGCAAACTTTGACCGCTTTCTAAGGCCAAGAGAGCAGAGTGGTAAAAAGGCCCGCGGGTTCATCTCTGAGAGTTTGAAGAACCGCGAACGCGGAGATGGCGTGACCTTAGAATTAAATGGGAACAAGTCACGAGTGAACCTGACAAAATATTTTAGCGCCAGACTGCTCAAATCATGGCAGCCTATACCTGTACCGTCGTTGTATTTCGCGCACTCCTCTCAAAAAAAAAACTCGACAAGCGATAGAATGCTTCCTGTGTAACTCGGAATTTTGCAGCTACAGTGCAGTTCCAAGTCAGGCGAAAACGTCGAAAGGGTTATGTGACATCTTGAACTTTGTGCATGATTACGTGACAACTAAAACTTTTGGTGGGGTCCTGCCGCGAAAGACCAAAGCCCGCAGAGACATAAAGAGTTGCCACCGGGGTGGATGAGCCACTTCTTATGCGTGAAAAGTTTGAATGTGCAAAGTCAGTGCGGTCAACGCCTTGCAGACGTGAAAGCGCAGAGAAAAACAGTAAGTTGGCGCCATTGAAGGGGTTTACGTTTTGCTGTCGTAGACCTTTGGGCACGGTCCTTTGGCGAAAACATGTAATGCAGACAGAGGATAGGCTGCCAAGGCAACGAAATGTGCAAGATACATGTGGCGAGCCGGGATATGAGAAGGGAAGTGTCTCTTAAGTGGGTAGGCCACTTGTCAGGCATGAAAACTGTGGGGTCACAATGATCGCAGAATGCCACTTAGAAGAGAGGGTGCAAAAAAAGCACAAGAACGACGCATTCAAAGGGATTGAAACAAGCTATCCGTACACTAAGCAGAGTTGTAGTGTATCAAGTCAACTAGCTAAGAAATACTGTGCTGACTTTTGGATGCCACCAGAAGGTCTAGCTCTCTATATAGAGAATAGGCGAGTTTAACTTACACTAGTGACTTTTTGCTGAGGCCGTTCTTTAGTTGTGCAGGGAGTTCTATATTATTCATAATAGTCGTCATACACACTCGCCAAAATTCACCAATGTAGCTCTGAAAATGAGTCTTTTCGTTAATTTTTGTTAATAGTCTATAACAGTAGGAGCCATAAGAGCGACCTTGATCAAGTTCTCTTGCAGAAGTGGGTTTTCCTCTAACCATAAGATGAACGCCTGCTTAATCTTCTCTCGCTCCAGAGCAAAAAAGGAATTTTTCACTACTAGTTCACCAGCCTTAACAAAATCTAAAAATCGCATTA